TGCCTCCTCGACAAACCCTGCGCCCAGGAGCCTATCCACTTCTACCCTAAGCAGGGCCTCCTTTTCTTGGGAAAGGTTTCTTCTCTTCTGCTGAACCGGCCTCCTTCCTTCCTCAACCGCCAACTTATGCACAGCCGTCTCAGGCGCTACCCCGGGCATTTCTTTAGCACTCCACGCAAACAACTCCGCGAACTCCTTCAACAGAGCGACCAACTTCTCGACCATTTCGGGAGGCGCCTGGACCGAAATCCTGATCTGCCTTTCCGGTCGCTCCTCATCCAGGGGGATCAACAATTCTTCGTCGGCCGCCTCTGCTCTAGGCGCCTCTTCGGAAGTGATCGCATTGATCCTTTGACTTTTACGCGGACGCACGCTCTTAAGCATAATATAAATGGGGGCGCCTCTTCCTCTTGCAATGCCCACTCCCTTCGGCGCTATGAACTTCAACGTCTGATGACAAGTGGACGCCACCCCATTGAACAAGGCCAAAAGGGGCCTGCCGAGTATGGCATTGTAGGGGGAGGGGCAATCCACAATCCCAAAATCGATAGCATGGGTGACCCGCTGCTCCTCGTCGCCCAAAGTAACAGGGAGGCGCACGCGCCCTATTACCTTCGCGGGCGCCCCTGAGAACCCGACGAGCATCGAGTCCGACGGTCGTATTAAGTCAGGAGACAAGTGCATGCGCGCCACCGTATCCTTGAACAGCACGTCCATGGAACTCCCCGTGTCCACAAGCATCCTTTTCACCATGCACCCCGCCACTATTCCTTGAATTTCCAGCGCCTCCAAAGAAGGTATCCCATAAGCTTCGTCAGGCACCTGGTTGAAACTAATGCACACCCCCTCGTGCCGATCAACCGATGCTGCTCTTAGGCGCCTGTTAGCTTCCAATTTTTCTCTCAAATCTCCGGTGCCAGTAATCGCGTCCACCGTAAGCCTTACCTTCTCAGGCGCCTTCTCCTGGTCCAGCTCGAACGGAGGCGGGGGGAGATCCTCCTTGGGCCCCGAACGGGCCACATATGCCCTATGCACCCTCTCTTCCGGCTTTTTGACGAACTCGTTAAGCATGCCCCTGTCCACCAATCCTTGTAATTCAGTCTTCAACTGGTAGCAATCAACTGTATTGTGCCCCCGCTCTCGATGGAAGTCACAATATCGATCCAGGTTCTGCGGGTTGGGTTGCCCCCTCATAGGCCCTGGCCATCTCACGTGGTACCCCTTATCCTTCACATATTGCAACACATTCTTTGGCGAGTCGCTAAGCTCCGTGAATTGATTCACTTTAGGCGTCGGGCGCCCCTGATCACTCCTCCGCACCGGTGGGACCGCGGCTCCACCATAGAATGGCCTTGACTCGGGCGCCTGCCTTCGTCCATCTCCTTCCTCTCCCCTAGGGCGGCGCCTGTCGGCCCGTCTTGACGCTAGCGCCTCCTCTAACACTATAACTTTCTGCACCCTTCGATCCAAATCTTCCGTAGACACTACATCCCTTTTAGCTAGCGCCCGACAAAGTTCCTCACTGGTGGTGCACTCCTCGAGGAGGACACCAAGTACCGGGGGCTGCACATCTCTCACCGCCATGGCCACCGGGATCCATCGCTCATAGAACTCCCTCAAGGTTTCTCCCTCCTTCTGCTTGATCTTGAATAGTGAGCCCACGGTTAGGGTGCGCCTCTTTCTACTTGCGAACTTAGCCAGGAACATCGCCGCAAACTGCTCAAAGCATTCTATGCGCCCTTCCTCGATCTGATGGTACCAATCTAAGACGACGCCTGAGAATGTGGAGGGGAACACCTTGCATAAAGTTGCGTCTGAACTGTTGTACAGCTGCATTTTGGTGAAGTAGCTGTTGAGGTGGTCGTCTGGGTCCGCCGTACCGTCGTAGGTGGGAAGCGGCGGGATGTTGGTACTAGCGGGCTCCATGAGCACGCTCCGGGCCAAAGGCTGTCTTACCACAAATTGTCGATGTGGGCGCCCCGGCATCCACACATTCCTCTCTCCCTCCGAATCTCCGTAATCAGCCAGGCGCCTCATGCTGGCAAGGCGCCTCAGCGAGCTGGACTCCCCTTCAGTTTCCATCGTACGCTCCCTCTTCCTTACTCCGGGACTTGGGGCGCCCTCCTTCAACATTTCCACCTCTCTCCTTAACATCCCAATGGCCTCGTCTTGATCGGCTATGATCTTGAACAGTTCCTTCTTAGTCACCGAGGCCCCATCTGAATCCGGGCGCGGGTCTTCACTTCCCTCATCTTCCCCTATGCTGGGCGTCCCTCCTCCTGCTTCTTGAGATGCCTCCTCCATGTGTTGCTCCTCCATCTCGCTTCCACCCTCCATCGAAACTAGGCGCTTTCAAGTTGTGTTCTCCCCTATCTGGCGCGCCAATTGTTGATGCCCTCTCGATCTACCGTCTCTTCTTCCGTACCAGCTGACTCTCCCCCAATGAAGCCTGCACTCACAGAGGTGGGCCTTGTGGCCCGTTAGTCCTCCAACGCTCAAGTCAGTATCCTTCTTAGAGAGAGAAGTGCTGGTCATGCACAATTTTTAGTGAGAGAAGCCAAATTCAGTAAATGCTTACCCTCCTCGCTATTTATAGCCGATCATTGCTTACCTGGACCTTATCGTACGGACTTCCACGTCAGCCCTACCTTTAGTGCGGGTGACCCGGGGCGCTTCCTCCAAAGGAGATTCCCGGCGCCCTCTCTAAATACACAATTCCCACGTGCACACCCAGGCCCCTCCGGTGCGAGTACCCCTAGGCGCCTAGTGTATGCAACTTCCAACGTGCCCTTGATCCAAGCCCGAAGGCGCCTATCATGGCCCACCCCATATTGACTGGGCTCACCTTTCCCCGAACTACTTAGGCTTCGTGCTCTTAACTGGGCCTCACCCATACATCGAGGCCTCCTTATTCGTATACCCCCAACAATTATCAATTAATCGCCATATCTATATATGGTGGACTCTTATTAGTTAACTGGGAATTGGATTAATTATTAATCCATTATAGTGACCAAAAGTTATTATTATACTGTTTAATTAGGTTGTATGAGGAAGTGGTAGCTAGCTAGCGCCTAGCAGGTCTTTCAATCCTTTTCTTATCTTAGCTAGGTTTTATCTCTTTGAGACGATGATGTCGCTGAATTTTTTGTAAAAAATTATGATCGCTCATGATCAGAAATACTATGACAATAAACGTTGTATGAGATCAAATGTACGTATTTCATAGGAGATCGTACTACCAACTTTTCAGATATAGGCAAAATGATGTAATTAGTTCTTCAATTTATATTTATCAAAATAAAGAAATCGCAAATTAATAATGCAAATTAATTTTGCACAAAAAAGTTCGTAATGCGACTGAAGAAAAATTGTATACTATCTACTATGATATTCAAAATAACAAACTGAAAATCTGATTTCGAGAATGTATGAAAAGATAGTAAATTAATGTTGTTAAGATGAACTCTATAGTTTTTGTCACACAATATTACCAAAACAAAAAACGTTTTTTTGAACCATTACACTGGCCAATGGTTTTTGGTGGTGCATGCAAAATCAAACCATTCCTTTGAAGAGCCCTTCTAGTGTGCTCTATAGCACCCATTGAAGAATTTGTTTCACAAAGTGTAGGTACAACTTAAAATTGTACCATTAGTATAGGTACAATTTTTAGTTGTACCATAAAGGGATTTGTTAGAAAGTGTAGGTACAACTTAAAGTTGTACCATGGTATAGGTACAAGTTCGGGTTGTACCATAAAAGAATTTTGAGAAAGTGTAGGTACAATTTTTAGTTGTACCATAAGGGATTTGTTAGAAAGTGTAGGTACAACTTAAAGTTGTACCATGGTATAGGTACAAGTTTGGGTTGTACCATAGAAGGATTTTTAGGAAGTGTAGGTACAACTTAAAGTTGTACCATGGTATAGGTACAAGTTTAGGTTGTACCATAGAAGGATTTTGAGAAAGTGTATGTACAACTTAAGGTTGTACCATTAGTATAGGTACAATTTTGAGTTGTACCATAAAGAGATTTATTAGAAAGTGTAGGTACAATTTAAAGTTGTACCATTAGTATAGGTACAATTTTGAGCTGTACCATAAAAGGATTTGTTAGAAAGTGTAGGTACAACTTAAAGTTGTACCATTGTATAGGTACAAGTTTGGGTTGTACCATAAAAGAATTTTGAGAAAGTGTAGGTACAACTTAAGGTTGTACCATTAGTATATGTACAATTTTTAGTTGTACTATAAAGGGATTTGTTAGAAAGTGTAGGTACAACTTAAAGTTGTACCATGGTATAGGTACAAGTTTGGGTTGTACCATAGAAGGATTTGGAGAAAGTGTAGGTACAACTAAAAGTTGTACCATTACTATAGGTACAATTTTGGGTTGTACCATAAAGGGATTTATTAGAAAGTGCATGTACAACTTAAAGTTGTATTAAGTTGTACCATTAGTATAGGTACAATTTTTAGTTGTACCACAAAGGGATTTGTTAGAAAGTGTAGGTACAACTTAAAGTTGTACCATGGTATAGGTACAAGTTCGGGTTGTACCATAAAAGAATTTTGAGAAAGTGTAGGCACAACTTAAGGTTGTACCATTAGTATAGGTATACTTTTTAGTTGTACCATAAGGGATTTGTTAGAAAGTGTAGGTACAATTTAATCAAGCTGATCATCCATCAACTTCCTATGTGAACAAGAAAAATAGATAATTTTTCTTCCATCCCACGAAAGCAAATTCACAGTTTCACATGGCAGGGACAATTATGGAAATTTCAACTCTGGTGTGGGAGTATATCAAACAAGATAAGTAGAAGAACAAGAACTTCCGCGTCAAACATGGCGTCCCCCCGCACCCTTCTCAATAATTCTCCCCTTCACATAAATATATACAACTTTCCCTCTCCTCTTTCTTTCCTTTCTACTTTTACTAATTATTCCCCTCACTCAACATTTTCCGCTGCACGGCCCAGCAGTTAATGGATTCTCCGGGCTCGAGACCCTCCTGAAATCCCTCCCGGTGTTCGTCTACTCCGGCGCCGCGGCGGCGGCGGCGGCGGAGTGCGCCGTCTGCCTGTCGTAATTCGAGGAGAAGGAGGCGGGGCGGACGCTGCCGAAATGTGCGCACAGCTTTCACACCGAGTGTATCGACATGTGGTTCCATTCTCACTCAACGTGTTCGCTCTGCCGCTCGCCGGTCGAGCCTCTGCCGGCGATCGAGATGCTGGAGCCTTCCACGTCGGCCGGCGGGCGGAAATCGAGGGGGGAGTTGGGGATCGAAGTGCCGGGGAGGAATTTCGGGGAAGAGCCGTCGTCGTCGGCGGTGGCGGAGTCTCCGGCGAGTCAGGGGTTCAGGTCGCCGATGAGCCGGATGCTTTCGTTTAATTGGTGAGAAGACAACCGGTTGTACCGGTTATCCACACACAAATAAAATAATATATTAATAATTTAAATATAATCTAATGGTTGATATAATTTGAACATGATCTAATGGTTATAAATGTTTTATAGTACCAATACTATAAAGCACACTAAAATGCCTCTCCTTTGAAAGGTTCTTAACTTCTTATGGTCACATTATGATTGCGACCAAACACAGTGGGGGTGGAGGGGCGGCAAAACCCTTTATTTTGAACCAAACCTTTTGATTGCGAATGTGACATTTTATCTAATCCCATTTTGCCTTAATAAATCTTATGCGATATTTTTGAAAAGAAAAACAGACGTGGTTACATCAACATGTATTTAATTTTCCATTTTTTTCATCCAATTAATCAAATCTGGAACCGTTAAAAATATATATGTTGAGGAACATAGATTTCATTGTATTTTGAGACTAGATTTTCCGTTGACACATAGTTTGTTAGGGCTTATGGTTCACGTTTGAATATCTTATTCTCCTTTTCCAAAGGGATTGAAATTGTATATTTCACATACCCAAATGATTAATGGATGATTAAGAGTTAATGTTCGTCATTTTTATCTAGGGAGACGCACACGCAAAGTTCATTCTGCATGGGAGAGCGAATCAATCATCGAAAAACTGTGTGATACAAGAAACTTCATCTAGTCTCATTATACATTCTCATTTTTATTACAATCATTTTTAGTTAGTGTCGTTAAAATGTTATTCTCTACTAATTTCTACGTAATATTTCTAGCACAAGCTGCAACACTTTCGTGGTCTCTTTGTATCTCTTTTGGCTTGCCAAGTATTGCATTGTATCAATCATATCAATAAAATGATTCGTACTTGTGTGAAGTTCTCATGACAGATTATATCGTCGATGCATTGAAGTTAAAACTCGAGAATTTAGGGTTCAAAAAGACATTAACATTGGGTGGAAACTGCATTAAGGAGTTGATTGCAATCAACACAAATGGATCGTACATTTTCTCGTGTAAACAAGGTGATGCAAAAGGGTCACATGAGATCGATGTAATTACTTAGTACGACAGAAAAGAGAAACCGGCTCTCATCAATTAATATGCCTACCTGTGCTCCAAAATGTCATGTAACTTAATGGCAATAAAATGTTAATGAGAATGGGTTAGATAGAGAAGAAGGGGGAAACTCGCAAAATCATTTCTTTCATTCTAATTATTTTTTTCCGTTGAATTCATTCTAATAATTTACGCTGACCGTTTGACATGATTTCAAGAATAATATTGGGTTCATCAACTCGATATGGCTAAATTATGGTGCTCTCTTGGTTTTTTCTCTCCTTATGATAAGTCATCTCTTCGTTGAAACTAAATCCCCATGATCATGATCAACTTATTATGGTAGGTGACTAAAAAAACTCTAATTGGTACATTGCAAAACAATATTCTTTACAATTGTGTCCCTAAAATTTGAATGAAAGTCACAAATATATATTTGGATCAATGTATTTATTCTTAGATCACACATCATTTCGTGGAGTAACTTGCTTGGAATGGTGTCTCTAAAAGCCACCCCCAGTTTTTCAAAGTCCAGCTTCAGACTAAATATATATGGAGGATTCATTTAATAAGATTACTTTTAAATTGTACCATCCGTGGAGTAACTTGCTTGGAAGCATTGCAAAGAAAGAATGTTTTGCAATAAAAATTTAATATGCTTACAATAGACCCTGATGTGTACCAGTGGGATGAACCAAATTCTCATTAAATTTGGTTTTTGATTAAAGGGTGCTTGTATATGTTTTGCAGTACCTCGCGCGAATACTCCATTGAAATGAAACGTTCTTAATGTTAGTTGAGTACCACAAAACAAAATTAGTAGAAACATGACCTATATATACTACCTTGTTTTCCTGATCAAATCGATGACATGTACAGATAGCTATTAAAAATAAGATTGGTCAAAATTGACATCCATATACAACAAACACACTAAAAAAATTTAAAAAAATGTCATTGAAACTAAAATAGAACAAAATGTATATTTGCAACTAGTTACTTTCAATGATGCCTACATCTAATGTTGTTTTCTTGTTGCATAATGTAGATAACTATTGGATATGATTACTTTGTTTGGAGTATAATCTTGGTTAAGCTTTCCCCAACAAATTTAAATCAAACATGTGTCGCATACAATTGTCTTTTTCTTTGTCATTTCTATCATTGTTCTAATTTCTCCAAGACATGGTTATAATTGCATTTTCTTCCAATTTTATTTATTAGGTACCTAATGCTTAAAGTTTTTTTTCGATGAATAATGCTTAAAGTATTTAACCACTGGCATTGTTAAGATTTCAAACACTTTTCGAGTGGTTCATTTTATAATTATACTAGCGTGGGCCCCGACCGTTTGGCCGGAGGAATGTGAGGTATGAAATTTGATAATGTAATGGGGTGTATAGCTTATTGTTGTATAGTTTTTTTTTTTGGGAAACACGTGATAAAAATAGTGAATTTTAGTAGGAAAAAGACATGAATGATGCAACGAATCAAAAATCAGCCTTATGAACCAAAATCAAGTACCTGTTACCTTGTGAAACAATATTGTTTCTGGTAATATGATGAGGTAGAGACAGTTTTATAGAAACTGAATTCCAGAAAATCGAATAAAAAATCACCTATCTTGCCGGTTTTCGGGAAATGAGCATCTCACAATCGTTGCTAGCTTTTACTCGGGCCGTTGGCCGATTAATTTGCTTTATAAAACTTTCATCTTCTCATCATTGTGTTTTCTGGTTTTTTGCCAAGCCATGATATAATCTAAAGAAATCAAGAATGAACAACACGATTTGGGATATGAACCACCGTTCTTGTATCCTTAGAAAATGGTGGTAAAAACGGACTCACCTGTCAAACTGGTTTGGATTGAGATTTGTATCGGGTATCAGGGAACCATGTGATTATAAATTAGACTTGATTAAAACGGGCCAAAACTTGAAATTCAACCTGTTTGACCGACCCATGCCAAACTCTAATTATTCTTTACTTTTAAACTTTCTATTTGAAATAAAAAATAATGAAAGAAAAGAGATGACTGCAATTCGCCATTTTTTTTCTTTTTCCGTTGAATCAGCTCAATTCGCCATTTGCACATCACTGATTCGGGAATAAAACTATAGAATTCGAAAGGAAACTGAAAAGGTTTAGGATCGTTTTAATGTTAAAAATAACCAAATAAATCTTTCTGTTTAGGTTTTTACTAACAAATACCAAATGATTCCCTATAATATACACTATAACTTAATCATTATGATATCAAATAATTACATAATATATATTTGAAATGATAAAAATTGGACTAATTGGGTTGGTCGAGGTTGAACAGTTGAATAACTTTAAAATACATTATATTTTAGCCACTAAGATATAAAATAACAGCATAATATATATTATGCTAGAGAAAATAGCTTGTTTTAGAATGACAAACCCATGATGTTCATTTGTTTTACTTGATGGGCAAATCCCGTGTAGGCCAGACCCATTCAACTCTTTTATTTGATGGTTAGCGGTTAGCCCATTAGAATTCATGCATTAGTTTATTTTTAATTTTTTTTTCTTTTTAGCAATAAAAAGAGTATTGTTTTTGCCTTTTCATATATAGTTTACCACCACGAAGAAATAAAAGGACTTAAAGAAAAAAATTGACACTCCTGGACCCGTTTAATTCGTATGTGTACGGTAAGTTGGCCGTTCCACAGAGGAAAAAGAAAAAAAATTGACACTCCCTATTCTACCCTTCCTACAAACGCTCCTGGAGTAGGGAATTTGAAATGAGGGAAGAGTTTTTTCTCTCTGCGATTATATGTTTTTAATTTCAAAAAATATAATAAATGTACTTAGTGTGATTGGTTATGATCTTTGCTTTTCTTAAAAGTGGTCATGGTTCGAATCCTAGTAAGTGTCTTTTTTAATGAATAAAAAAAAGTAATTGTGAAGACCATAATGTCCTTCCTACTTTCACTCTGGATGCAGGAAATTTGAAATGGGGCTTCAAGTTTTCTTATTTGGCTTTTATTTATTGTGTAGACTAAGTTAGATATTAGTTTTATGTTAAAAAGGAAAAGTGGTAGTTGTTACACATCGTAATCGTTGAATTAGTGTTGAATTTTATTATTTTGTGGTTTAATATAAAAAGGAAACCCACACACATGCATGGTCGCCTCTTTAATACGTGCGAGTGGACAACAACTGTGAAATTGTGAACTTCCAAGTTCCAACAAGAATTCCCAACCTTTTTTTCCCCTTCAAAAAGGGTGGCTGAGCTTCTCAGATTCATAAACTTTACAACTTTGAGTTTCTTTCAATCCCTTCAATTTTGCTCATTTAATTACATTTCAATCGCAAGACACATAAAAGAAAAAGAGTGCAGTAGTTTCTTAATTTGTGTCATGTTCATTACTTCTCAAGAAAAGGAGACAGCTGCCACATATATTTATGGATTTTAAATGCCAAGAACCCTATCCCCTGAGTTTCATCCAACTTACCACAATAGAGACAGTTCCACAACTTTGATAATTTTTTTATTATGTCAAATTGGGTTGATCGACAACACAATTTTGAATATTTTGATCATGGTGATATATGTTGTGTTTTTAATTGGGTGTTACTTTATTGGATTCGAACTTGAAACCTTCAGATTCAATACCAGTAATAGTGGTATTACCACTAGACACCACAATTTTGAGCTAAAACAAAGGCTTTATCAGCCAAACTTACGAGAACCAGACTCGGTATAGTTTATTGTCAACTTGATCCCAGCCAAAATGTCATAGTGATTGTTCTTTTTGTTAAAGTCTTCACTTTAAGGGTTATTGCATTGAAATTTATGAACAAATTTGTGACAAAAAGACTAGTAATTTCTTTGTTCGTCGGTAAAATTATTTTTGTTGTGCTCGAAGTTGTATAAATTAGAAATGTACGACCAACGATCTTTTTATATTCCTTGATTCTTGCGAACCCTGTTAGAACCCTGTTAGAACCTCCTTCGTCATGGGCATGAGAGCAGAAGACATGAATTTTTGCTAATTAAGAAGATTCTAGACTCGATCATCTAAAATTCTTTTATATCATGACATCTAATTCATCAAAATCAATAAGATTGCATAATATTATCAATGGATCACTCCGTTCATAGTGATAAGATATTCTTAAAAAATAATTAGCTTTAGGTCACGACCCATCAGTCTAATTAGATTTATCCATAGAAACTAGAAAGCAATTGATTCCTTCCTCATCGTGCAAACGAACCGTCCAACGTGTATTCAAGTTTAAGCACAATCCCAGCAAGCTATCCAGTTCTTTCAGCCCAGGAGAGCAATTAATTTCTCATATGGCGAGGTAATTAATAAGTTAATTCAAAATGATTACATGGGTCTTTATCCAATCATTAGCTTTGCAAACCCGAAATTAAGTGAAATAAAATCCAATTTTTATAATAGAATATAACAATATAGAAGAGAAAAACCGGCAATTGTTTAACCTCCAGTCCACTCTGGCTAGGGCTGGGAAACGGTGCGGTCTGGTCCAGACCAGACCATATATACGGTTTACGGTCCAGACCGAGAGGCTAAAGTATAGACCACAGACCAGACCACAGACTATACGGTCTGGTGCAGACCACGCCTGTGCGGTCTGGTTCGGTCTGGTCTGGTCCAGATAGACCACACTCAACGAAAAATGAATAATTTGTTTAGTCAACCACACAAAAAATTGAACCAATAACCAAGAAAAATAATTGTTATTTGCCTTAAAACATTAATCCTAACATGCATGAATAATTTTGATACTCTAAATCTTAGTACATAACAAAGATACAAAGTAAAAGCATCCCAGCTTGCACCATAATGTCATAAACATTAACATAATGTCATATGGAGACACGATTATCTCTACTCTGTGGTTAAATGTGGTTGTGAATGAAGGAGGGAAGAGATTCACAAAATTAAGGTTGAGACTTGGGTGTCGTTGTGGGAGTTTGGAGAGTGATCGAATGGGCTGTTAACACGTATTGACAAGTCAGTTGGGTCTACGGTCTGGTCCGGTAAACCGCGGTCTAGACCAGACCAGACCAAAAGATCAAATCATAAAATAATACAGACCATGGACCAGACCATACTTCACGGTCTACGGTCCGGACCAAACTGTGCGGTACGGTTTGGACCACGGGGTTTTCTAACGGTCTGGTCTATTTTCCCAGCCCTAACTCTGGCAGAGCAAAGTGGAAGGAAAGGAACAGCAACAAAATATGATTCTTCTTATAATTATTTCTCTTCAGTCTTTCGTTATTTCTTTATATTTCTTTTGGGGGTTTCAATGGTATTTAGTTACGGAGAAAACCTCGCTTCGAATCCAAGTCTTCTCCTCAAATGCGTAATGCGCGTGCAGCTTCTCTTTTGGCCAAGCAGCGATCTTTACAGCCTCGTCTACCCTTTACTCAATCTTCCCCATTTCTTCTCTAAGCTTTGCTTTCATGGGTAGTTGCCAAGATCTTGTGGGTTGACACTCTGTAGCTCAAGTGTTTGATAAAACCTCCCAACCAGAAAAATATTAGCAACAACAACCAATTCTCAGTACATTACTTACCGTATCCAAAGACTTGAGCTTTCTGCGTCGCACTCGGTTTCAGACTTTCAGTTCCTTTTTTGGTTTAAAACCCTTCTCTTCAAGCTACTTGCTTCCCTTTTTCCCGTTCTTCCTTCTTTTTCTGCTTGGTTCTTTCCTTCTCTTACCCTCTTGCTTCTTCTGGGTCTTTTTCTTTCTTGGGGTTTCATGAGTTCATCTGGGGCTCCTTCTTCTTGTCCTGCTGTGTCCTGCTGAGGATTAGAGAGAGCGAGCGAGAGAGGGGGAGGGAGATAGTGCTGGAGATTTCTTGCAGAGGAAATGGAATCATTAACTCCATTCCAACTTCTTTCTGTTGTAGCCGCTATAACGCTCTTTGTGGCCTGCCCGTCTCAGTGCTTTCCTCAGGATGAAGGTATGAACTGCTGATTTCTCAGATCTTGACTCTTCAACTTGGCGTCAAGCTGTTTGCTAGCTGGGAAAGAGAATTACTTTTGTGGGGGCGGAAGAAAAGTCTTCGCTTGGTGGTGTTGTTTTGCGTTTGACTGAGTGGAATTTGTGTCAGTTTGAGTACTAAGTTTGAGCATTGCTAGGCTTGTTTTGTTTCTTTGCTTATTACTGGTATGGAGAATCTTGATTCCAACTTTTCTCTTCTTCGGCGACTAACAAGGCGGTGACAATTGTTTGGGAAGGTCATTGATCTGGACGCCTGTGTTGAAATCAATTAAATTGGCAGTAGAACTCTCTGAATTTTTGTGATTAGTGGGAGTTATATGAGGTGCTGATAGTTTTGTGTTTCTTCTTTAACTGAATTCTGCTGCGGACTTTTCTCAGTTTCAGCCCTGTATGCATTCAAGGAAGCAATTTATGAAGACCCTCTTCTGATTCTATCCAATTGGAATGCTCTAGATACCATTCCTTGTGGCTGGGCTGGCGTTTATTGCTCATCTACCGGAGACCATGTTTTCAAGATGTAAGTCGTGATCCACTGTTCCCTCTTCTATGACTACATTTCCAAATTGGAGGGGCTTGCCTTTTACATTGATCCATTCCTAATGCATCATCATTTGCCCTTGTCCAGAAACGTATCTGCAGCATCTCTCCGAGGGTTCATTGCACCGGACTTGAGCAGGATCACAAACTTGCAAGAACTGTAAGTTACCTTTTGCGTACATAATGAGCTATGTTCACTAGTTCACCAAACAATTGCTACCTTCACAAACAATGAGCTATGCTCACTAGTTCACTACAATTTTAGTCAAACATGATGGTTTGGGTGCTTGGTGTTATGTAGAATCTTACATGGCAACAATCTGATTGGAACCATACCGAAAGAACTGGGCAATCTGAAGCAGCTTAAGAGGTTGGATTTAGGAGCCAATCAATTGACGGGTCAGATTCCTCCAGAGCTGGCAACTATATCCGGCATCATGAAAATGTAATTTTTGTTGTTGTTGTTGTCCTTTCTTGATTGGTAGGAAATGTTGAATTCCTGCTTACTAACCTTGGTAATATTTTGGCCTGCAGAAACCTTCAGTCTAATGGGCTAACTGGGACTCTACCTATCGGGTTTGGCAATTTAAGATATCTTCAGGAACTCATCCTGGATAGGAACAAACTCCAGGGTACTGTTCCAGCCAGTACTGATTTGGCTTCCAATATGCATGGAATGTAAGTACAATATCCCTGTGCAAGTGCAATAGTGTCATAGACTGGTCATTTCAATTCCTCTAGTTTTTACTTTTCCCTAAAGAATTTGAAGCATCTCCTTAACTCGGTTTTGGATAGAAGAGTGGAACAAGAAAGAACAAGCTTTCTAGTCATAACTTCGTGACATTATTTCGCTCAACTGGTCTTATTGTGATCAGACTGTCTTATTGTGATCAGACTGTCTTATTGGCTTCATGGTTCCAATTGCTGTTATAGGTATACTTCAGCTGAAAACTCAACTGGTCTATGTCAAGCATCTAACCTCAAAGTAGTTGATTTCTCTTACAACTACTTCACTGGAACTGTACCTAAATGCTTGAGATATCTTCCGAGGTAGCTTTCTTGCGACTTTATGATTGATTAAAATTTGCTACTTTGCTTCACAACTGAAGTTATCCTAAATTTTGTTGTCATGCAGCACAAGTTTTCAAGGAAATTGCCTTCAGAACAAAGAGTCAAGACAGCGTAGTGCTGCACAATGTAGCTCTTACTGTAAGAATTTTTCTCTGTAGTGCAGAGTTTGGAGTGATAAGTTTGGTTCAGTGTTTAGTATAATAATGCAAGTAATTAAGTAGCAACTAGGTGAAAACTCTATCAATTTTTTATAGAACAGAGCTTGGATGGAGAACAATTTGATAGCAATATATAGCAAACTAGGGTCATCAGCTCTTGAGGCTGTTAGAGAACTTCTGATTTGAACAGTGGCAAAATTATCTCCAAAGTGTTACTATTTTCTGATAGTATTAAGTTTTCTTACAAGCACTGCCCTTTAATTATTTGAAAGTGATAAAAAAAAAAATATATTTCCTTCTGCAGCTGGTCCTAAACCTGTCAGACACCATCCACCATTTCACCCTAAGCACCCAGCTGCTGAAGCTGTTTCCTCCAAGGAACACCAGGGGAAATCAAAGCCAGCATGGTTATTAGTGTTGGAAATAGTGACAGGAACCATGGTGGGCGCTATCTTTGTTGTTTTCCTTTTCACTGCCTTACAGAGATGGAACGCCAGATCTGCTATTATAATGCCTTGGAAGAAATCAAGTAGTCAGAAGGAAAATGTGACTGTATACATAGGTTTGCTTCCTACATCAACCACCAGCTTACATTCAGAAAGCTTTGACTGCAGTTCTGCTTAAAGTGTCGTTTCTTTTCGGCCCATTTTTGCAGACTCTGAAATGCTGAAAGATGTGGTGAAGTTTAACAGACAAGAACTCGAAGTAGCCTGTGAAGACTTTAGCAACATCATTGGCTCTTCACCAGATAGTTTGGTTTATAAGGGAAACATGAAAGGAGGTCCCGAGATTGCCGTCATATCTCTCTGTATCAAAGAGGAAAACTGGTCTGGCTACCTTGAACTCTATTTTCAGAGAGAGGTATGTAAATCATATCATGGAACTTCAAATTGACTAGTATTAATAGAGCTCAAAGTAAGAAGCTTTGCTGAAGTACTATTAGTTCAGGTTGCAGATTTGGCAAGATTAAATCATGAGAATACTGGAAAGTTGCTGGGTTATTGTAAAGAGAGCAGTCCATTTACCAGGATGTTAGTGTTTGAATACGCATCAAATGGAACCTTGAATGAGCACCTTCACTGTAAGTCAGGTTTCTCACTTTAAGTTTAAGTTCAGTTCCAAAAGACGGTATTCCTTCATAGTCTACAGCTGAAGTCCCTCATTCTAACCCTGTGCAGATGGAGAGGAATGCCAATTTTCTTGGACACGGCGCATGAGAATTGTGATGGGTATCGCTCGTGGGCTCAAGTACCTTCACACAGAACTTGACCCACCTTTCACGATATCAGAGTTGACTTCTAGTGCTGTTTACCTCACAGACGACTTCTCTCCCAAGGTACTCCACATCTACTTTTGTGGGAACTTTATGATACTGCAAGCTTTCTGGAACTACTACATTAGCAAACTATATAATCTTGGGATCATAGCATTACTTTAAATTTGAGTTTTAAATGCATAGCATCAATTCCTTATAAGATGGTTGCTAACCAGAGCGTTTCTATACATTGTCGGATTCAGCTGGTGGATTTTGAGAGTTGGAAGAGCATTCTTTCTAGATCAGAAAAGAATTCAGGTTCTGTTGGTGGCCAAGGTGCTATCTGTGTACTTCCGAATTCTATGGAGGCGCGCCACCTGGACATTCAAGGCAATGTCTATGCTTTCGGGGTACTACTGCTAGAAATTATCAGTGGCAGGCCTCCATACTGCAAAGACAAAGGGTCCCTTTTAGACTGGGTATGTTATATCAAATATCAAGCATGGTCCAAATTTTCCTAGAGCTCTTTTTCTAGAAACTACTTCATTTCTTCTGTGTCAAAATGGGGCCAAAAAAACTCAGGCACTGTTCTTTACTATGTGCAGGCTAAGGACTTACTTGAAGTACCGGAGGCAATGTCTGATCTTGTGGATCCTGAGGTAAAGAATTTCAAGCAAGAGGACCTGAAAGCCATATGTGAAGCGGTAAAACTATGCATCCATCCAGACGGAACGAAGAGGCCTTCAATGCGGGAGTTATGCACGCTGCTGGAAAGCAGAATTGACACATCTGTATCGTTTGACTTCAAGGCAACTTCATTGGCATGGGCCGAGCTTGCATTGTCATCATGAATAGAGTTTGAGGAAAAGACTTTGATTGAGCTAACACACTGTAAAGCAAATAGAGACATCACTAATACTCATTTCTTTCTTTGGTTTGGTGTCACCTTGATTCTTTGTCAGGATTTCTTTTTGGTTATTTACTCCCCTTGTAAATGTCTGCATGGCTAAAAGAGAAACTTGAGAGTGCTTCTTGCATGACACAAAATGAAGTTGTGCCTGCCATCTCCCTTCTCATTTGTAATACCATTACCACCCCCAATTGGGACTATGTAATGGATGACTGATGTTGAATCACAGTAGATGTAGAGTTCACTGAACTCTTGTTGATGATATTTGAATGAGCAAGAGTTGTTTCTACCAAGTCTTTTTCCGTCCCTCTCTCTCTGTGATTCTCTTTTGCAGCACTAGCTCTAATGTAGAAACCAGCCTACTTTATATTTGATTAGTCTAGGAATTGATGAGTGAGGATTAGAGTTTTCCTCCAAAATCATTTTGCATAAAGAGAAAGCAAGAATCATTCTTATTCCCACTGAAGGCTTGAACCATGATGGCAACTTTCCCAGTTGGCCAGTTTCCATATTCAAAAGGAATGGTAAATTTTGACTTTGAAAATAAGAAATGGACAAAATGATTCCCAGGACTAATGTTGGAGAATAAACAGAATCATTAAAGATGTTGGTATACTGTTGTCTGTTGCATACTTGCATTCAAGTAGCAGAATGGGACAATGGGTCCATTTCCACGGCAGCCCTTCTCTATCCAAATCACTTTCTATCTTCATCCCCATGCTGAAACCAGATGGCCGTTCAATATTTTCAAGATTATGAATCCTAATCTGAGTTAGGACGATGTTCTTGTAAATTAAACATTGTAGTGTACCTATTAATACAAATTAGGTTTCAAGCCACGAATTATATGGACATGACAAGTGTCCAAAGTCCCAAAAAAAAACCCCTGCATATTTCTCTTCATTTTACAAATGTCATCAATTTTGCCATTTCCTCATTTCAGGCGCGACATTACGCGTGCATTCCCCTAGTTAAAAATAAAAGCTTGAAAAACACAAAATACGTGCAACCTATTTTTGAAGCTCCTGTATTTGTTCGTTGTTGAAATGGGTCCAACCCATATCTTAGAAGTCAAGTATTGTTTTCTATGACAGCCTTAACCTGGAATTAAGCCAAGAGGCCAAGATACAAATTGCAGGCCAAGCAATCTGTATTGCAGCCGACTATTTCCTGTTTTGTCCACAGTATAGTGGAATAGCTCTGCTTCCAAGTATCGTTACCTTCAAAAAGCCATGGCAATAAAACCAGATTACGCAGTCCAGCCACGATCAACGAAAGAGAGGCCATTCAGGGCTTCTATTCAACAGAATTCCAACGGCAGTTAAATGCTCTGAGAAGCCATTCAACTAGCAAAAAATAAATGCCGTCAAAAATGGGATTTGATTCACCAACAGAACATGAAGAGATGTGCAAGAAGACATAAATAGTCACACGCCAAGGAGCCATAAAACAAAAATCCCACGACCACAAATCAGTGCTTTTGACGGGAGTAGTGATTATCATTAGGGTTCCTCCTTCCACCATAAGCTGTAAATGCTTTTCCTACAGGTGGCTTGTAAGCAGACCTTTTGTCGACATGGCTGAAGATGTCGCCTGCACCAACAAAGAAGTCGTCGTCCTGAAAAGAGAGAAATTCTATTATCAGCCTTTGTTTTCATGATGCAGAAGCAAGAGGTTAGATTTACCATCCAAGTTAGAAAAGCTGACCTTATTATTACTTTTCTTCTTCGTCTTGGGACGAAGGTACTTTTGTGGGATTTGATCTTCACGCAGAATTGGGTTCTTAGTAATGGCGTCCCTTCCACCTTGTGGTAAAGGTAAGGAAAACTGCAGAGGGAGGCGAAAACAATAAGTTCAGATGTCAAGAAAGAAAACACCATCTCCAAACAAACGCTGGCTAGGAAAAATGAGTAACACATGTCAGAATATGGTGCCCTTTCTCAATTTAGAAGGGGCGGTGTTGTTGCTACTACCTCACATCGTGATGGAAATGAAAATCAAGACAACTAGATAGACAACTACCTTTGTACCGCGCAAAGTGATACGAGGGCGACGTGCAGCTAGAACTACCCCATTCTCACCAACCGTAACTGCAACTTTTCTGAGTGTGCCACCATTTCCACATTTGGGACAGAAGAGCCTTCCGATTTCACCAGTAACAGTGAAGCACGCATGACATTTCAGAATCCACCTGCAGATCCAAAAATATCAATACAAGGGTTATAGTAAGTGATGACATACACAAGATCAGGTGAGTGGACACTATATAAACTCAAGCACCAATTCAATACCTGTGAAGCTGCCGAATTTGCATCCCTCCAGGAGCCAGAAGTCGTAAACCTATTTGAAGGAGAACATTCTGCATCGCAAAGTCACCAGTAACACAAGCTACGCTAGACTCTGACAAGGATCTAAGCATCCAACTCTGCTCACTACTATCACCATCCTCGCAGTGAGTATCACAGCTTTCATGTGTCTCGCTCAAAGTCTCCAACTCATTAAATCCTGCATTTGGAACATCATTTTCACCTCCTGAGAGATGTGTACACTCATTGCCATCAGGGGAACTTTCGATCTCTCTCAAACCATTTTTTTCTTCATCCCCTTCCTGATGGGTCTCCAATGAATCTTCATCCAGCCTCATTTGTTTAAGGATTGAGGTTAGGTTTCCATTTCCATTATCCACGTTCCCAACCTTCTCCTCCTCGGGTGCTACTTTTGCAGCATCTGCTTCCGACCCTTGATTCAGAAGCTGATCAGTGTTGCTTCTTTCTGTCTTGCTGCTATCAGCCAATTGTCCCTCCACATCTTGCTGAGACTCTTTCTCAGATAAAGCCTCATAGTACTCCCATTTAGCTTTCCTTCTAAGATACTTTCTATGAGTACTCTTACTAACAGCAGGCAGCCAATCGCCAGCATCATCATCAACTTGTCCTTGAGATGCATCAATACCATCTGCAACCATTTTCTTCCCTTCAATTTTTACCTCTTTTTTCTTGGATGGGTATCTTCTATGCTTCGGCCTACCATCCTCTACATCTTCATGATTCTCAGAATACTTGTCATCGTCTTCTTTAGTAGTTGCAGTGTCGGCCTCGGATTTGTCATCATCTATTACAATAGTGTTCAAGTCTACATCTTTCAAGGGAAGAATTCTCGAGTTCGAGTTTGTTCCATCCCCAGATTCATTTTCTATTGCCTCCCACTCTTTCAAATTAGGAACATTAGAGCCCCATCCAGGCAATTCCTTCTCAGGCAACCTTTTTACATTGACCGTATGGACAGGTGGTGGAGCATCTCTAAGATGTTGAGTCCCGTGTATCTGCCCCTCCAAGGAGTATGTAAGGGCAATGAGTTTAAGATCAACATCTGACAGTGTCTGCAAGTCACCAGTTGCCTTTGCAAACTTGACAACTGCAAACGAAAAGAAGCATATCATTATGCAGCCAAAATTCCATCCCCATTTGGATGCAAGATATAATGCAAAGGTAACTAAGCATCTAAGATTCAACTGTCAAACTCAAATCTCCATGCAATTCACAAATAAGGTAGCATGGTTATGAAACAGATATTAACACCCAAAATAGCTAAATTACAATTGAAAAGGTTCAATCACCAATTTGATCAGCGTGTCAAACTACACCAACTTCACCAGTAACAAGGCAACCCCTGCCCGCTTTCATGGAATTTGTAATCTTATTTCCAGTTTTTACGGTTACAATGAAACCAAACACGCTCCATAATACCCGACCTCTTACCCACCAATTGACTAGACACCCCAAAAGAGCAGGAAATTCGAAAGGGAGAATTGTGAAAAGCCGGACCTTTGTTGAGTGCCTCAGGGGTCGGCTCCATTGAATCGATAGTGAAAGGGATGAAAGCAAGGCGGTGGCGGGAAACAGGGTCACGAATTTCATCGAGAACTTCAGGGACGGTGACGAACTTGTCGGCCAGGTGATGAAGCCTCTCTCCGCCTTCAATCACCGCATTGGCATCGATAACAGCCACCGAAATCCCTTTGCTCGACTTGCAGCTCTCGACAAACATCTGAGTCGCGCTCGTAGAGTTCTGTGGCTTTGGTGACGGCACCGGCGGTTGGCTCTTCAAGATATTGCTCCAGCACATCGGAGCTGCGACGGAAGATGACGAGTTCGCAGCGGCCTCCTCCATTGCTGCGGCGATGGTGCGAGTAAGGCGACAAAGTCCTAAAACCAGACGGTGAGACCCGAGACGAGAGAGAGGCGGGGCTGTGAATCTTCCGGCGATCCCTGCCGACGGCGATTCTTCTCTGCCGCTGCGACTGTCGGAAGTTTGAGAAGAGGAAGAGTGCAAGAGAATAGCTGGAGGCGCAGACCGAAAGCTGCTGTGTTGCGACTTGCGAGGGATAGGTAGGGTTTTGGAATCCAAATTCTGTTTTGTTTTTTTTTTTACTTTTGACTTTTTTTTAAGGAATTTTTTATAGTTATTTCACCCAAAATGGCGTATTTGCTTTTTTGGGCAATGTCTATTTTTTACCCAAACCTTTTTCAGATTCTTTTATTTTAACCAAACCTATAGAAATTCTATTTATTATCCAAACGTATTATAATTTATCAAAGTCTGGGCATTCATTCTGTTACCGTTACTTATTTCGTCCACGTGAGAGGTGGGATTTTGTTTTGTTTTTTGATAATCTTTTTATTAAAAATAGTAAATGATGGTATTCTGACCGCCACGTAGGAAGTCAACTCATTATGGTCATACTTAGTCAGCATTACTAACAGAAAAGTTGACGGAGAGTTAACGTTTGGATAATTTTTAGGAATTCAATAAGTTTGGTTAAAATAAAAGAATCTGAAAAAGGTTTGGGTAAAAAATAGACATTGCCCTGCTTTTTTTAACTAGCTTTATACTCGGTTTGTTGGCCGGATTATGGCTAATCTTATTGTATTGTATTATACTAGCTTATTACCCGGCCCGTTGGCCGGATTACTGTATGTTACCCACTTGTGGAATGAGAGAGAAAGCAAGTGAGAGTGAAGGGATTGGGATCCCACTTGATTAGGACCGACCCACTAATCTGATTCTTCCCGCCCCGCCCCAACTTAAAGGGTCAGAAAGAGTCAATAAGAAAATACGAACGGAGAGGATTAGTCATATATTCAGAAGTGGATCAAACAGGATCAAGGTTGGGTGAGGGCAATTTTTAGCGGTACGCAAAGTTCTGGGTTGAATAACTTTACTTAGGCCTAGAAATTGGTGCTGATGCAGACTGCAGTTTTTATTATATCATCATCAATCATCATTGAATTAGTCCTGGGCATCCCTCCCCGTTGTCGGTCTGAATTCTAATGATGGCTTCATTCCTTGCACCAGCCATATCAGCGAGTTGTCATCTCGAGCATGATTTGCCTATGTACAAATGATACAATTAGAGTATGAAACTGAGTTCAGAGAAAAGGAAAAGAGAATTCTATCACATGCCAATAAATACACACATAATAGTTGAAGCTAAGTGAAAGTCATTACTCGCACATCAATTCTAAAAAATTACAGACTAAACAATGGCTAGAATGGCACTGAAACTACCAAGAATCATGGACGAAACAACTTGTCAAATTAAATAATCCTTATACTGAAACTACCTTCTAACTTGAAATAAGACATGATCACAGTTCATAGCACTCTTATCACTATGAATTGGTTGCAGCTCGTCCTTATCACTGCCTCCCAAGCTCAATTCAAACAGAATAGAGACCGTTATGTAAGATAACCATATCCTTACTGATCATAATTCATTTCTTCACTCCATTTTTGTCGGAGAAAAGAGTTATCCCCCCTCTCCTGCATTTCCCTTTCCCCCTCTATTCTCCCTCTTCTACACAAACCGATCCCTAAACCAGCAACAACAACACAAAAATAGCCTTCGCCTCTGCCATCTCCATCTACTGAACGCGTTGGTGGCAAGACAGGACTGCAGAAGCAAAATTTTATAAAATCAAACTAAATTTTTTGAAGGAGACTCAACCACGAAAAAAGAGTAAAGCAACAATGCTAATAGTTCAGATGGTTGGTTTTGATGTTATACGCCGCTTTTGTTATGGTCTCCAGTATATCAACTGCAACAGAGATGTTTCCTCCAATCATCTTTAGTGCACGATTTAGAAGTAAGTCCTCTTGTTTGTGTTAAACGGAAACATTCATGGGTTCTTAACTCCCCTGTTAGTGTAAATGCAGCAGCAGCAAAGAAGTTTGACATCACAGCAAGCACCCAAGCAAAATGATACAATGCAGTAGGTGATATGTGTCTCGAAGGTTTTGAGTAACTAAAGTTCATGTTAAAAATAAACATGAATTAAAATGGATTATTCTATTAAGCAAACATCCCCTCTAATCATACAAAGATCAGATATCCAAATCACAAACAATTAAGCCATAAAAAATCATCACACATCCAACACCTTTGAATTCCTAAATTTGGTTTTTCGCAAAGTTATGGACTCTTAAGGGTAACGTTCATGGGTAGTCTGTTTCATAACTCTAGAGAGCATAGTAAGCAGCCACCAGCCAGACACAGTGCAGTAGGCGAATATGATTCTCAATTCACAATTTCTCACCACCGGAAGTAAGAACATACCATAATAAGCGTAGCGTTCATGGGTGGTCTGTTTCATAGCACTACTACACAATTTGTTAAAAAAGAAAGAAAGGTATTTAGCATCACGGAGGAACAACTTTTACAGGCCAACAACGATAACATGCTGCAACCACCAGAACCGGTATCACAACTCATAGGGAAAATCAAAAGATTTACTCTCAAATTAAGTAATTACAACATCAAGCAATCGTCAAGCACATACACCATCACAAAAGTCACGGAACCTGATTCACAAACCATTTAAACATTTAAGGACATTTCTGCAAAGGTACAACTTATATGTCTTTTTTCCAAGCCATTTCCATCAACATGCTAATAAATTTGCAATGCATAAAACAAACGGGCCAAAACTTGAAATTCGGCATGTTTGACCGACCCATGCCAAATTCTAATTATTCTTTACTTTTAAACTTTCTATATGAAAATAAAAAACAGTGAAAGAAAAGAGACTACTACAATTCGCCATTTGCACATCACGTATTCAGGAATAAAACCATAGAAATTCAAAAGGAACTGAAAATGTTTAGGATCGTTTTAATGTTTAAAATAACCAAATAGATCTTTATGTTTAGTTTTTTACTAACAAATACCAAACGATTCCCTATAAAATACACTATAATTTGATCATTATGATGTCAAATAATTATAAAATATATATTTGAAATGATAAAAATTGGACTAATTGGGTTGGTCGAGGTTGAACAATTGAATAACTTTAAAATACATTATATTTTAGTCACTAAGATATAAAATAATAGTTTGTTTTAGAATGGCAAACCAATGATGTTCATTTGTTTTACTTGATGGCCAAATCCCATGTAGGGCAGACCCATTCAACTCTTTTATTTTATGGTTAGCGGTTAGCCCATTAGATACCATGCATTAGTTTATTGTTAAACTTTTTATTTTTAGCAATAAAAAGAAGTATTATTTTTGCCTTTTCATATATATTTTATCACCACGGTGAAATAAAAGGGCTTAAAGAAAAAAATTGACACTCCTGAACCCGTTCAAATCCGCATGTGTACGGTAAGTTGGCCCGTTCCACAGAGGAAAGAGAAAAAATTGACACTCCCTATTCTACCCTTCCTACAAACGCTCCTGGAGCAGAGAATTTGAAATTGGGGAAGGGTTTTTTCCTCCCAGCTATTATATGTTTTTAATTTAAAGATATACAACAAATGTACTTAGTGTGATTGGTTATGATCCTTGCTTTTCTTTAAAATGGTCATGGTTCGAATCCCAGTACCTGACTTTTTAATGAATAAAAAAAAGTAATTGTGAAGACCAAAATGTCCTTCCTACTTTCACTCTCGTTGCAGGAAATTTGAAATGGGGCTCCCGTTTTTCCCTTCGGCGTATTATATTATGTGTAGATTGTTGGCCGATCTAAATATTGATTGGGTCGATTTAAATATTGTTTTGGTCCGATATGAACCAAATCATTGCACATCTCTAGTTAGGTGACTCAAATCTCGGCCAAATTAGTACAAAATACAAAAATTGTTAGGATCTTGTGTTGACCAGTTTTACTCGGTTAAATTGAAAAGTTACGGTACCAATCAATATTGCTGAAGAACACAGAGGTACAAGCCTATAGAATAGATCATGTTCAAATAAGGTCGTAATACCAATCAATATCAAACTAGTATGATCCTGATAAATTTATTATTTTCTTTACAGACATGTATGCTATTGGAACCATAGTTGCATTGTACCAACTAAATAATATGGCTTAATTGCAAGTTTGGTCACACGAATTGCTAAAAAAATTCACGTTTGCCACTCAAATTGATTTATTCCATTTATAGTCACTGTAATTAGTTAAACAGTACAAGTTCGGTCACTCTCCGTTAACCTCCGTTAGACTCCGTTAATGACGATCGTTAAGTGATGACGTGGCTAACAGAAAATCACAGTCATCATATTTTAACATTAAAAAACGACGACCCGACCCGCCACGTCATATTTACCCGCCCTGTCAGCCATTCTTGCCCAACCCGCGAACCAACCCAATTAATTGGGCAAGAATGGCTGACAGGGCGGGTAAATATGACGTGGCGGGTCGAGTCGTCGTTTTTTAATGTTAAAATATACTGACTGTGATTTTCTGTTAGCCACGTCATCACTTAACGATCGTCATTAACGGAGTCTAACAGAGGTTAACGGAGAGTGACCGAACTTGGACTGTTCAACTTATTCGAATGACTATAAATGGAATAAATCAATTTGAGTGGTAAACATGAATTTCTTTAGCAATTCGTGTGACCAAACTTGCAATTAAGCCTAAATACTATTATCTTAAGTTGTTCAATACAACCTGTGCAATGAGTTTTTAATGTTCATATTTATCGATTTCTAAAAAGATTATCTTAATACTTGTCCAAAATATTTAGATTTATATATTTCAAACTAACCAGTATATCATTTTTTTAAAAACTAATCAATATACAATTCTTCAAAAGAGCTCAACTTGTACATAGGGGATATTTGGAGAACAGGATTCATGACGTGGATTTACTGAATCCGTAGATTTTGTAGAAAGTTATGTTTTTTTGTTGCTTTTTGTATTGTAGATTCTAGCTTTAGAGATTTTAAATCTCTAAAATCTGCAGATATCAAATCTCTCATAATCAGAGAGATTTTATATCTTGATTCATGAGATTTTTTCTCTCCTAGTTTTTCTCTTATTTTTATTTATTTATCACATGAAATTATTTATCAACAAAGTTTTTAATATTTCTTGAACCACTCTAATTTTTTTATTAAGGATAAA